ACATGGGAGTCCGGTTCAATAAAATGACCCACCTCATCACATCCCTGGATGCGGATTCAGCCATTACATCATACGAAAAAGGTTGTTGCGTATCCTTTACAGGACGTTGCAGAACCAACCCTAACAGCCCCTGGCTGTTGTGTGGTTTCTCTAGGCAAATTACGTCCAGTAGTTTGCCATTGCTTTCTGGACGGTCGGCTTTCTTGATACCACTGTCGAAACTAACGCAAGGCGCATTGCCCGCAGCTGGGATCGAACCCGGCATCCCGGCATTACGAAGCGAAGTGTTCGCATCGACTTAGCCACAGAGCCGACAGCCATTACATACACATAAAATAATGCTAGGGTTAACAGCCACACACATAGACATTTAAAAAATGGACTAACGAAGCGGGTGGGCTCACGGAAAGATGCCTTTGTCTGATTTGCAACTGATTTTCCATTTACACTAACGTTATAATGAAAAATACAATTTGACAGGCATCAGATTAGACTGCTAAGAATACAATTTTCCATTCTCAGAAACCTTATTGGACATTTTATGGTCAGATATGAAATTGTGTGACCTAGATAGTGGGTTCGAACGGGAGTTTGCGAGTTGGCTTCCACCAGCTAGTCGTAAAACTGAAAGAACTGGAAGGAGTTATTGCTTTTTTCTTCTGCTTCTTCAGTTTTCCGAACCCTTGAGGTTCACTGCTGTAGACGTCACCCACCTCCATTCATCTATGTAAATATCCTTCTCTTTCCTTTAGTAACTCCAAGTGTTTGTAAGTTTGCCTGCGTGTTATCTCTACATCGTCTTTTTGGTCTGCAACGCTGTCTACTCTTGCTCCCTATTTCGTGTCTTTCTATTAGATGCAGTTCTTTTAGTATCCCGCTACAATTCCAGTATGTTAGTCGTCCTCGTGAAGCCAGTAATTAATGTCAGTTAAATAACCAGGGGAGTCCGAACCTGAAGTTGAAGGCACCCCCGCCCCCCCCCCCTCTCCCACCTTACCTTTTTTTCACACCCAACCGCTTAAAAAATCCCCCGGGGTACTTTGTAAGGGCTAAGCCATCTATCTTAATCTGTCTTGGTCAACTAAAGAAGACAAAAAACCTTGGACTAAGTTCATTTGGAACCTATTTCAACAAAATGGACTGGGTTGTGTGGGTGTCGGAGTCACCGTTGTGTAGCGACAATATGCTCGCCCGTTGATTCGAAAGTCATGGGTTCAAATCCGTACGAATATATTTTTTTTTTACTGACCGCGGCCTTTATGTCAGCTCAGTATTAAATGGGTACCAGGTAAAGTCTTGGGAAGTTGATAGATCACCCACCGTGTGTCGATTGGTCTGAAAATGTAGGTCTAGCTCTGTGTGTGCAATTCGCCTAGGAACGTGGGAAAAGAGTGTTTTACTTTACTGTTGTGTGAGTGTGTATTGAAACTATACTCAGTGTTATATGTGCGATTTGACAGCCACCTTGCTCGCAACCCACTCATATGTGACTGTAATCTGCGATGGTTGGCCCAGTACCTGGAGAAACACCCCGTGGAAACCAGCGGTGTACGTTGCCACACTCCACGGCGGGTGAGGCGGAAGAAGGTCACCCAGCTCAAGTTGGAGCAGTTCAAATGTAAAGGTGCGTGCTAGTATTAGTTTCTGTCTGTTGGGCTGTTTGTCCATAAACTGATCTCTCTGCATCTATGTATCTGCATATACGTAATTTGATTATATGTCTGTATTTTGAATAATGGTTCCTCTATCATGCAATATGTCTGTCTGTCCTCTTTTCTATCTGTTGTAACCAGCATTATATCTTTCCATCGGAACCCAACAATCGTGGGTCTTTATTTCCTGTTTGTCTGTCTGATCGATCGGTTGGTGTTTCTGCCTGTCAGTCAATTACGTCAGCTAGGTCGCCTTACATAACGATGACAGTGAAGCACAGTATGTTTCAAGTTTAACTTGGAAATACTAGTTTTCTTCAGTCTCCGCTACTGCCGGTCCAAAGTCACGATGAGAAAGGAGAATGGTTGGACGTCGTGACAACTTCCCCACCTTTAAAAAAAGTCTCTCTGTATCTATTTATAAAATCTATATTTATATCGGTCTATCAATCAGTCTGTCATTCCCTTATCGACTTATTATATCCAGCCATATATCTTTTCATCGGGACCCAAGCATCTATCTGTCCTAATGTCCTGTCTGTCCGTCTGTGCAGTCTATCGGTTGGTGTTCCCTACCTGTCAGTCTATTGCAGGGATCTCCAACGTTTTCAAGGTCGCACCCCCACCCCCTTAAGTATATGGAAAGACCACCAAGCGGCCTTTAAGTATACTGCAAAAACCCACTCCCCCTTAGGTTTCTACTAAGGCCCCCACGCATTCCCCCCCCCCCCAATCATCCTCTGTAACACAATGCGATTAAAAAGAGGAAGACTAGATAGTGGAGCGCCCCTTTCTCCCCTCCCCCCTCTGCCCCAGGTTTGAAACCACTGGTCTATTGTTTTAGCCATGTAGCTGTACGTAAAGACGCAGTAAGCATAGTATGTTTTTGAAGTAGTAATTTTCTTTAAACTCCGCTATTGTCGGTAGCAAATCCGGATAAGAAAGGAGGAGAGTTTGACTGTTGGGAGCCAGCCCTCGTATAGTAAAAAAAAAATGTATATATGCTATAGAAACTAGTAGAAAATGAAGCCATTGCGGCAAACTAACAAGCTAAGTGGTGGGCGATGCACAGAATGTACCCTTGGAGGTTACCCATGAACGAACGTTGAGAGATGTAAAAGGTGCCGGACTGTATTCCAGCCATGATACCGAAAAACGAGTAATTCCACGGGATTGAACGGAACGGAAAAAGGAACTGCGAGCTCTGTGTAACATTTGAAGTTTAAAGTTCAAGGTTTGAACAGATCAACATCATAAGTGCTCAGGTCTTTATCTAACTCAAGACTGAGTCCGAGGAAGCTCAGCACATTGCACAGGCTCTCTAGCATCGGCGAGGATCCTGAAATATTTTGGGTAGATTTTAAACTCAAAATTTTGCCCCGGCAGCGCCGTTAGGCTACTCTTTTCGATTTCCAACTGCCAAGAGTTTTTTTTTTTTACGTGCGCACCAATGCACACGGGCGTCCGATCTCACTACCCAGAAACCAGGGGGAATAACTAGAAGTCTAAGTTCATGTGAAAAAATCCCAGCTCTTGCCGGGGATTGAACCCGGAACCTCTATCACTCTAGGCGGACACCATGCCTCGAGACCACGCAGACCTCTCTGTTTAACGCACAGCACAACAAGATGATGATTTGGAAAAGGTAGATGTTGGTGATGTTAAATTTTTTTTAAAATATATATATATATATATATATATATATATATATATATATATATATATATATATATATATATATATATATCTTTATATATATATATATATATATATATATATATTATATATATATATATATATATATATATATATATATATATATATATATATATATATATATATATATATATATATATAGCAATACATCTGCAACTTACAAGTAATATGCAATTTATATTAGCGAGAACGCATCAAGAATGACAAGATAATATTAGATTTATATTTTTGGACAGGTCTGAAGACGACAAAATCAAATGAGATTTTTAATAGTGGGCAAGGCCTCGAGTTCAAGAATGCAATCTTTAATTTATAGTTATGACAATGCCTCGAGCCTAACATTGTAATATGATTTTTAGGTGCTTTATTAAGATCCCACCCCAAACAGGAGAAATCCACTGGTCACGGGACAGTCTGATATTTCAGGGGGTGGTAGATAGGCTACATGCAGTCGTACGACTTGGGCTGCATGCAGTCGTGGGACTTAGGCTGCACTCTCCCGTGGAACGTAAGTGCGTTGGGGTTAGGGCCAGTTCTAGATGTTTTGGGGTCGTTAAAAGCATCAGAAAGCCGGGAAACCCAGCGTTACCACCCTCTAAAATGTTTGACTGTCCTGTGACGTCATCTGGGGGTAGGATATTAAAAATCACTGATTTTTATACTCGTATCAGCGTGGCAGTGCCTGGAGCACTAAAATGTACACGATTAAGAATAAATAACGTTAGAATTGAAAATTCATAGTTTCATCTTAAAGCTGTATAACCTGGAGCTTCATATTTTTGTAAAGGCTTTTAAAGACTATTTGTTGTTGCTTTGCCAATGCATATCATAATTTCCTTCATTGTATCTCATCGAGATTCTAAATTGATACTTAAATTGTTGAAATAGTCCGTTACTTTTATTGGTTTGTTCTTTAGCATGACATCTTCCTGATTTGTTGTTTTTTCTTTAATTTATGGGGGAGGGGGGGGTTTCATAACTTATTTGTAGTTCTATTTTTGATGTTGTGGACGACAAGAATTTATGGGGGGGGGGGGGGGGGGAGGGGTTCATAACTTATTTGTAGTTCTATTTTTGATGTTGTGGACGACAAGAATTAATGGGGGGGGGGGGGGGGGTTTCATAACTTATTTGTAGTTCTATTTTTGATGTTGTGGACGACAAGTCGTCTTATTTATTATTTTTTTTTTCATGTATTTTTACTTGCTAGGGCACATAAAGCCAGTATCTCGTATAGCTGCATGGTAACTATTTATAGCCATCTTATATGTTTTGTTTTTTTCTTTAAAATATCCAGAAACCATGAGTTTTTAACCCTTTGGCTTGTTACTATGGATATCGCAACCTTGATTCCACGATAGATACCGTAAATCTGGGAGAAATGTGACTTTTCTGTCTATCCCTGTACGTGAACCAGGACCTCAAGGAGTTTGTCACCCTGTCGTCGCGAAGTCAGGTTTAACCAACTACGCTAGTCAACCGGGCATCTTATTTGGCTAAATGGGGTATCTGTGACATACCTGCTGGCTAGAAATCGGGTCGCTGTAGCTTCAGATCTTTAGGCAGCAGTCTCAGATGGGTTTATTCTTATTCCAGTAATATAGCTTAACATATTTGTGGTTTATCAAACAGGGTCTGAACACCATCGTACTAAACACGCTGGTACCTGTATCATTGACCGTGAATGCCCGACACAGTGTGTATGTTTGGGTACAACTCTTGATTGCTCCAAAAGAGAATTGCTGGACATACCTGCCGACCTTCCCATTTACACTACCGAACTGTAAGTTGAAAGTTCAGTAACGGATCATTGTCTGTGGCCACATGTTTCTTTAGTAAGTGCATAAATTAAACAGTTCACACTTTCTGTAACCAATAAAACCTCTCTCTCTCTCTCTCTCTCTCTCTCTCTCTCTCTCTCTCTCTCTCTCTCATATGTACACACACACGCATGCGCTAATTCTTCCGCACTCTCTCTCTCTCTCTCTTTCTCTCTCTCTCTCTCTTTCTCTCTCTCTCTCTCTCTCTCTCTCATGTGTACACACACACACGCATGCGCTAATTCTTCCGCACTCTCTCTCTCTCTCTCTCTCTCTCTCTCTCTCTCTCTCTTCATGAGGTGAGCACTGACAGAAGTACAAAAATAATGTTTGTGCATCATTCTAAAGCTGGCAATGTTTCATGTGTTAATTTACTACGGCTCTCTGTATCTGTCTGTCTGTCTGTCTGTCTGTCTGTCTGTCTGTCTGTCTGTCTGTCTGTCTGTCTGTCTGTCTGTCTGTCTGTCTGTCTGTCTGTCTGTCTGTCTGTCTGTCTGTCTGTCTGTCTGTCTAGCTAGCTGGCTTTCTGTTTCCATCCGTTCAACACTTTAATTTCTTGCTTAGTACTGACAGAGTTAATTAATACCTGCTGTTGTTATATGCAACCCTGTTATAATTATATGTTGCTGTAATTACATGTCGTCCTGTTGTAATTATATGCGATTTTTTGTAGTTATATATGATCCTGCTGTAATTATATGTCGTCCTGTTGTAATTATATGCGATTTTTTTGTAGTTATATGTGATCCTGCTGTAATTATATGCGATTTTTTTGTAGTTATATGTGATCCTGCTGTAATTATATGCGATTTTTGTGTAGTTATATGTGATCCTGCTGTAATTATATGCGATTATGCTGTACTTATATGTCATCCTGCGGCTTGGTTATTTTCTAACGTTTAAAATATTTGAACGATATTTATATGTGTGTGTGTGTGTGGGTGGGTGGGTGTGTGGGTGGGTGTGTGGGTGGGTGGGTGTGTGTGGGTGGGTGTGTGTGTGTGTGTTTTTGTTTGTTTGTTTGTTTGTTTGTTTGTTTGTTTGTACTTTATTTCTTGTTTACAGTTAACATTTATTTTATGTTTATAGAAAACTGGGAAGTAACAAAATCACTCGCATCAGGGCAGATGGTCTCTTTAAACGACTTCCAAATCTTCAAATACTGTAAGTAAATTACTGAATAAGAGTGTTTACACTTACCACATTTATCATCATAAATTTGTTGACCTCTGTGTCTCTGGAATCGTGACCGTAATTTCACAATTCTGACATACCGGCCTCGATTCAACTGCAGGGGGTTTGTCAGCAGACTGCTTTATGTTTGCTTGGAGAGTGGTATGAGCACCATACCGTTTGAAAGAAATGACAAAATATTGAATGTAAAATATGCCTGGTTTAAAAAAAAAAAACAGGAAATGTTAGCTGGCCTGTGAAGTTATGTAAGAAACATGCTACTGTACTCAAATCTACTCTAAACCAGCGGCTGTCATCCTGGGTGCTTGCCGCCCCACGGGGTGCAATTAATTTACAAACAGTTTTCAAACTGAGTTCCTTTTTACTTGTACTAATTTTTTTTTTTTTTTAGTTTAATTTTAAATCACATTTTTTTTCCTAGGACGTTATGTGATTTTACACTTTGAATTATGTTGACATTTTTCTCCAAGTTCTTGTCTATAGGGCTTGGGATTTTTCCTTTTTTTTTTTTTTTTTTTATCGCATTCATTTAAATCGGGACGGGTGGCGTTTGTTGCATTGTATGTCTGCAGACAAAACTCACATCAGCTGGCTCGATCAGTTTCTCTTTTTCATGATATAATCAAAGTTTAGTCGGCTCTGTGGATAAGTCAGTGTGAACGCTTCGTAATGCCGGGGTGCCGGGTTCGATCCCAGCTGCGAGCCATCCGCCTTGCGTTGGTTTTGACAGTGGTATCAGGGGGCCGACCGTCAAGAAGCAATGGCAAACTATTGGACGTAAATTTGCCTAGAGAAACCACACAACAGCCAGGGGCTGCTGGGGTTGGTTCTGCAACCTCCTGTAAAGGATACGCAACTAACCTAATCAAAGTTTTCATTATGAATGCATGAATCGAGAACTGACATCCCTGCACTTGTTACATTCCCACATGTGTTTCGTCCTCGTCTTCAGTAGCCAGCGAAGGGTCGACCTGCTAATGGTACCAGTTGCAAACCGATTATAAGTTCGTCTGTTTTCCCCTTAGTGTATGCTGATCTTCCAGAACCCACCCCCACTGTTAAAATAGTCTTTCAGTTTATGGAATTCTCTATCTGCTCTATTGCCCTGTCCATTTGATCTCAAAAGGCCTTCACCGCGTCCGTTTTGCCATAAATTAGCTTACCACCCAGGGGCCGCAGCCATGAATTAACAAATCACCCCATTTTATTCAACCTCAGCAGTTCATGTAGGAAAGTGGCCATTAATCGCGTTTACCCCACGTTAATTACACCAGAGCAAGGATAGCATATAGACAGGGATTTATGTTGAACAAGACGGTGCCTTCCCGTGCTGTGTTGTGCACGAAGAGAATAATTGCCACCCTCTCCCGCGTGACACCAAAACACGCCAAGCCTACATTCTGGTGACAGAGTCACTCATAACTCATGTTCTCTGACAGCATCCTTTCCGCTGAACAACTTCCTACAGGGGATCTTTGGGCCCGGCATTATACAGCGGTGGGTACGGTTGTTTTCCACGTGTTTTATGATAGTCGCCTAGATTGGCGTCCGCGCTCACCTGTGGAGCCTTCGTGTTCACACGCCAGGAGATGTTATTCGTCCTCGTCTGCTGAGTCGGCTGTCATGTGTGTGTGAGATGTCGGCCTGAGTTATATGTTAACACTGCCATATAGAAGCTCCATGCCACCTCTAACTGGGTGAATGTCTTGACACGGGTGCTGTGCGCTTTTGGGAGGAATAAAAGATTGTAATGTAGAGATGCTTCTCTATCTATCTATCTATCTATCTATCTATCTATCTATCTATCTATCTATCTATCTATCTATCTATCTATCTATCTATCTATCTATCTATCTATCTATCTATCTATCTATCTATCTATCTATCTATCTATCTATCTATCTATCTATCTATCTATCTATCTATCTATCTATCTATCTATCTATCTATCTATCTATCTATCTATCTATCTATCTATCTATCTATCTATCTATCTATCTATCTATCTATCTATCTATCTCTCTGTCTCTCTGTCTGTCTGTCTGTCTGTCTGTCTGTCTGTCTGTCTGTCTGTCTGTCTGTCTGTCTGTCTGTCTGTCTGTCTGTCTGTCTGTCTGTCTGTCTGTCTGTCTGTCTGTCTGTCTGTCTGTCTGTCTGTCTGTCTGTCTGTCTGTCTGTCTGTCTGTCTGTCTGTCTGTCTGTCTGTCTGTCTGTCTGTCTGTCTGTCTGTCTGTCTGTCTGTCTGTCTGTCTGTCTGTCTGTCTGTCTGTCTGTCTGTCTGTCTGTCTGTCTGTCTGTCTGTCTGTCTGTCTGTCTGTCTGTAAAGATCTTAGGTTATTACCACTCCATAAACGATTATTTTTCAATAGGCCAAAGTTATTCGCAAAATATTATTCATTTTAAATGCTCCAGATTACCTGTGGTCATTCTATAAGCATAGTGAGCGACACATCAAACTTCTGAACATATTACACATTCCTAAGCCTAGAACAGACTTGTACAAAACAAGCTTGGCGTACTCTGCAGCTTTGTATTTGGAACCAGCTTCAAAATACAGAACACTGGTCTCAGAATCATCACTGGAGGTATGAGAAGCACACCAATTAATGAGCTGGATGCAACATGTGGCCCCGAGAGCCTGAGCCTTCGAAGGAAAGAAAAGGTGCTTACCCTAACATAAAAATTTAAACTCATGAACAACACCATGCACAGAATAGCAAATAACAACCAAAAACCGACTGAAAAGACAAAGCTTTCACCATCTATCAAAATTATACTACACAAAAAACAGTGACATCCTTTCTAAAGATCCTTCAACATGGGGAATGATCCAGGCACACAGCATAGACCTACAGCCTAAATTTTCAGTCACAACAACAATTCCAGGCATAGACAGAAAGGCTGAAGAGTGTGACCTAGTACTACGTGCAAAGACCCTTGAACATGTCTGCAACTGTTATCCAAAACCCGAATGGACACACGTTTACACCGATGGATCATTGGAGGGAGCAGACAAAAATGGAGGAGCTGGATCGGTCATCATGCTACAAGATGGGACCACAGTAGAAACGTCATGCACCTCCTGAAGACTCTCATCAAACTTCAGAGCAGAGCAGCAAGCAATTATTGATTCAACCAAAGTGCTCGAGGAAAGAAAAAGAAAAAAAACAGCAAAATTGTTTTCCTTTGTGACTCCATGTCAGTCCTCCAGGCGACTCATAGGGACCCACGAGACAACATGAAAAGAGAACTGACCCGTCAGCTAAACAGACTCACAGAAAACAATCAAATTGTTCTCCAGTGGATCCCGGCTCACTGCGGCATACCAGGAAATGAGTTAGCAGACTTGCAAACAATGGAACAAAGGAGAAACAACACGCCCATTCATTGTCATTACCAGAAATCACAACACTTATCAAATGAAAATACAAGGGATTGTGGAGAGAACAAACTAACAGACTCAACAGAAAGCAACATACAACAATTTTCATTCTACGAACAGGACACTGCAGGCTCAACTACCACATGAATAAAATTAAGATTGTAAAATTTCCCCAGTATGCCTGTCAAACAGGACCACAAACACCTCAGCACATTCTGCAGACCTGCCCACTCTACCTGCAATTTCGAAAAGACACCTGGCCTCAAGAGCAGAGTGTGCAGAGCAAGCTTTGGGGAACCATGCAGGACCTGCAGCTGACATGCGAGTTCATAGAGGCAGCCCACCTGATGGTCTGTTCTGAGCATACGAAACCGAACGCAAAAAAAGAAGAAGAAGAAGAACCATCTTCAACGGCCAGTCAAAAGTATCGACAGTCCCTATCAATACAATTGGAAGCTTTTTGAATATTGCCTCATTACAGACTACATAGCGGCTTAGAAGAGAATATTATCCTAAGCATATTGTTGCTACCAAGATTTAGTATTAGAGCAAGTCAAGTCGTAACTGAGATGTTGTTGATGATGTTTATATTATTATTATTTGCTAAAAATATGTGTGAATGAAATAATGTTAGCACAGAGTGAGACCAGAAATGCGGAATGTGAGACGGGCCTCAGTGCCAGTTCTGAACCCTTTGAAAATAGCGCTCTCTCTCTCTCTCTCTCTCTCTCTCTCTCTCTCTCTCTCTCTCTCTCTCTCTCTCTCTACTTATCACTCTCTTGCTCTCGTGCTCTCTCTTTCTCTCTCTCTCTCTCTACTTATCACTCTCTTGCTCTCGTGCTCTCCCTCTCTCTCTGTCTCTCTCTCTCTCTACTTATCACTTGAGGTGACTTTCCTGCTGTCTCTCTCGCTGTCTGTAGCTCTCACTCTCTCTTACTCTGTGTTTGTGTATGTGTGCGTGTCTCTCTTTCATCCCTCCCCCTTTCCCCATTTCTTTTACTCATGTTGCTAGGAAACTACTTGTGTACTATACATTAATAGACTCATGTGATTAGCGCCCGGTGAAAGTGATCTTTCACAAAGCAGACCAAACCAAATATGGTTAGAAACCGGTGAAAGTTGGCCGAACATGGCCAATAATTGTGTGGCAAAATAATTGTGTTGCAACTTTGTTATAGATCCTTCAAGTATGTTGTCTGAGTTATATATATATATTTCAAATTTGTTGTGTGTGTTATATATCATTTAAGTATGTTGTGCTGTTATAGATCATTCAAGAATGTTGTCTAAAATCTAAATTGTTATCAATCGCCAGGGATCTCAGTGACAACAAGATTCACGAGATTGAAGATATGGCTTTTGAGAAAGGAGATAAACTAACAGATCTGTAAGTCAGTTTTCTAATACTAAACAAATCTTAGGATATTTCATTTCTATTGAAACTAACAGACCTGTAAGTCAGCTTTCTTCTACTACTGACATTCTAGAACTTCACATTTACTGTACTGCACAAATCATAGAATATATTGTTAATATCATTGCAGAGTAAGTACTAAACAAAGCAATAGAACATCATTTTTAATACTGCACAAATCAGTTATTTTTACGTTTTGTGAATATGGCTTTAGACGTTATATGTGAATCCTGAGGGTTTTGGAAAACAGTGCCCACAAAAGTTTGTTTTACGCGGCTGAGTCACCCCCCCCCCCCCCCGCACTCCCCTTTATTTCTCCCCCAACCCTAACACTTTTTCCCGATTTGTGCCCGAAAAATTGTAACATGGGGATGGGGTTTAACATCTTTTAAAGAATTTCTCTTCTTAAGTACTTGTTGATGCACTTTAAAATCTCTAAGGACAGCCTCTATGGCAAAATACAGATGTGTGCAAGCGGGACAAGAAGGCTACAGGTATTAGGGATTCATGGTAACAGAGCAGGATGTCATGGATTGCATTGTACGGAGGTGGGGCAGTTAGGAAGAGAATCAGGAGAAAACGATCATAGACAGGTTAAGAGCCGAGTGTTTGAGAAGCGACATGTCAGATATTTGAAATGGTAACAGTGATCTGTAAATCTCATGCACTCATTCTGGACGATTCTTCTTAAGGCCAGCAGGTCTTCCTGGTGATTTTTTCCATCGCGATGGGCTGTGATTCCTATGCCACTCTATAAAAGAATAGAACGCTGTTGTTTGGAAAGACGGGAAGCAGCCAAAAATTTAATTTCATATCTTCTTCGATCCTTCTGTCAGAAAACTTATATCAAGAGGCCGGTAGCCTTTATGAAAGCTATCATGCAATCCATATCTTCTCGTGTACCATATGGTTTTGTTTTCATTGTGGTTGGAACAGGCCAGATTGCCTCTCGGTTGTCAGCATATTTCATACGATTTCAATTATTTTTTTTTTTTTTTATTCACTATTCAACGCATTATTTATTATTATTATTATTCTGCCCTTTACCTTTTATAGATGAATGATGAGAATACCCTGTACAAATAAAAAGAGTAATGAGAATGTCTTGAAAGAAACTGACTCACGAAGAGAACTGATTGCCCAGATCAGAAAGAGACAATCTACATTCTTTGGTCATGTGATGAGAAGGAGGAAACTGGAGTACGTTGTGACAGTAGGAAAGTTGGAGGGAAAAGGAGAGAGACCGAGAGAAAAGATGCTGGACACTTTGACATCATGGCATGAAGCATCATCTGTGTCAGAGTTGACTAAAAGTACAAGAGACAGAAGGTTGTGGATAAACCTGACTACCAATGCCACATGGCATGGACTTTAAGAAGAAGAAGCCTTTTATCTTCCAATAGAGCATAGACCGTCACCTAGCTTACGACAAGGCGTCCTGTCCTTTGCTTTTTCGTGCAGCTCCCCCCCCCCCCCCCCCCCCCCCATATTCTCCTTTATCTTTTTAACTTCATTCTCAAGCTCCCTTTCCCAAATGTTTTTGGCCTGCCTATATTTCTATGCCCCTGTAGGTTCCAGTGCAAAGTCATTATAGTTATATTATTCTCAGGTTTTCTCAACATTTGTCATATCCAGCCCAGTGTCTTTTCTCCACTCTTGCTTCACTGGAAAGTATTTAGTTCTCTCCCAGAACTCAACATTAGTGATTCTATTGTACCATTTAATTATTATATTACATGCTTAAACAAGACTTAGACCTTTTGAGATCGCATCTAGAAACTTTATTAGGGGACTGAGCGGCTCCCCCCCCCCCCCCTTCCACCTGTTCATTGTGTGTCCATTTCCTGTGATAGCCTCTAATCACGAGGTGTTGTGTAATTTTTTTGTTTTTTTGTTTTACATTTGAGTGTAATTTTTTATTTTATTGTGATTGTAAAAATTTAATGTTTCAGACATATTTCCAACAATGAACTCTCTCATTTGTCAGGCAATGCTTTTCGTGGACTAACTAATGTTAAAACACTGTAAGTATGGTTTGTATAAACATACAGATTATGCAGATGCTTAGTATGGGCAAGTTATTACTAATTTAGTTCAATGACAACAGGAATAATTCTAATTAGGAGGCGGAAAAGAAGTGGGGTGACAAGGCTCTGTGATATCATTACCTGTGTAGACTTATAAACTAGACCAGAATGTTGTAGCCCTCAAGGGTAACAAGTATATCTTCTTTGGAGGTTGTACATGGATTTTCTTTGGCTTGATATCCGGACAGATTGATATTTTGTAATCTCATGATGGTAAAAGTTTCAGGTGGCAGCCCAAAGAAGAAATAGACAATGATTAGACAAAATTCAAACTTTGTGACTCAGAAAAGTGCATACAGCAGTGAGACAAATTTCCCATAAAATAAATAGGGAGCCATCTGCAACAAAAGATTTCCCTGAGTTCTAAAGACTTAAAACTATTACCCAGTTTGAAAAGCTCAAAGTGTACAATCACTGTCACTGCCTCAAAAATGTCAACAGCGAACACACGCACAAAAACGTATTGCTAAAATAAAAGCTCAGGTTGTCTTATGCAAGAAATATTTTCACAATGGACATTTGTCACAAAGTGAGGTACTTTGACGCATGAAGCCTCCACCGACAGAAGAAGATAAAGGCATCTCTCTGCAAAATGGTTATCCACCTGGTAAGAGCATTTTACAAAGCAAGCACTCAATAGGAAGTCAATCCCATTGACTTTAAACATCAGTTAATCATTCTGACCCGGTAGCCATTACTTTAGCTTATTCTACAAATTCTACAAAGTTGTACTTGAAGCTTTAGCTGTCTGAAACTGAAATGGTTAAAAACAATGTATATACCCTGTTAGTTAGTTAATTAGTTAGCTAGTTAGTTAGTTAGTTAGTTAGTTAGTTAGTTAGTTAGTTAGTTAGTTAGTTAGTTAGTTAGTTAGTTAGTTAGTTAGTTAGTTAGTTAGTTAGTTAGTTAGTTAGTTAGTTAGTTAGTTAGTTAGTTAGTAGTTAGTTAGTTAGTTAGTTAGTTAGTTAGTTAGTTAGTTAGTTAGTTAGTTAGTTAGTTAGTTAGTTAGTTAGTTAGTTAGTTAGTTAGTTAGTTAGTTAGTTAGTTAGTTAGTTAGTTAGTTAGTTAGTTAGTTAGTTAGTTAGTTAGTTCTTGAGCCTAGGGAAGTGCATACGGCAGAGGTCATAGCTCTCCATGTCTGGCGGCTCACTGTCACCTGTTTTAGGTCCTGGATGTTCATTAGACCATAGTTAAGCCTTCTCAGATGATGGTTCTACACAAGGTCTCTCTTGGTCTTTCCCATTTTCTTTTCCCTTCCGGTGTCCATATGAGGGCTTGATGGGGGAGTCTTGTCTTATCCATTCTGATTGCATTGACGATGTAGTTCCAGCGGTGCTTTCTTATAAAAATTGATATATCGTCTTGCTTGGTCTCTTATCTAATTTGTGTATTGGATTTGAAATCTGTCTAGTGGATTTTTAGTATTCTTCTAAGACATCTGTTCTTAAAATTGTCAATTTCTTTTATCTTGAGCCACCGTTGTGTTCTAACTCTCACATCCATAAGTTAGCACTGGAATCACACAAGAGTTGAAGACCTGAAGTTTTGTGTGTTTGCTGAATGTCTTTGACTTCCAAATGTTTGACAGTTTGTTAAAGGCACTAGATGCCAGTGCACTTCTAGTTACTTCTGGCGCTGAACCTCCTATAGATGTCATCTTACTCCCTAGGTATGTACAGCTGCTTACTTTTTCAAGAATGTGATTATTTAGTTTGATATACCCTGTGAGGCAAAATCAGGGCAACAGTCTGGGCCATTATCGTATAGCAGGCTCTTTGCATAACGTTGCTCTTATCATGCTCCTCTGCCAACTTCCCTGCCTCATTTACTTGTATGCCCTTGTTATCCATGTCCACTGTCAAGCTAGTCGGCCTCTGCCTCTGCTTCTGGGAACCGTACACCCACTACTGTTGCAATTTGGATATAATATGAGAGTTTAACAGCTCGCTGTAAGAGAAAAAAAAAACAGAATACAACATATTATCATTGGTATGACCAAGAAAGAATTATGGACAGTTGGTTGATTTGTGAAAACTGATGCGGAAGCTTTGGAGATGTGGAATTATAGGCAAATAGTGAAAACACCCTTTCTCCAACAACCACAAAACTGACTCACATCAGAAGGAGACAATCTACATTCTTTGGTCTTGGAATGAGTAGAAAATTGGAGTATATCCTGACAAAGGGAACATTGAAGGGGCAAAGATTGAGAGGTAGACCGAGAGAGATGATACTGGATAGTTTGACATTATGTCATGAAAGATCATCAGTATCAGAATTGTTAGAAAGTACACAAGAAAGAAGACTATTGGGAGAATAAAATTACCAAGAAATGTATGGTGAGTTGTTTGGAAATCCAAAAAGTTTTTTTTTTTTTTTTTTTTGAAGAGTATTGAAGAAAAAAGATACCTAGCTTAATCAAGTTGTTTTCTTGTTTCAGTTTGCTGCGTGGAAACAAAATCACATGTGTCAACAATAATACATTTACAGAAACCCCCAAATTACAACTATTGTAAGTCATTTCTTTAACATTCTTATTGTTTGTTATTCATAAAAATAATGACAAAAGTTAACATGGTCTAAAAGTTTTCATAACTGAAGATTTAAATACCCACACTTGACTACAGGGTACTTTGTAACCATATTGTGATGGCTCATTATAGCTGTGCTATGTAGCTTTACGGTTAAATGGGATTTCCAGGATTTGTGCCTGCTTGATTCTCACGCTTAAGATCCTAATCCTACAGGCTGCAGTCCTTGAGTGAGGAAAAAAAATGAGGTGATATAGTGGCTAGACACTCAGCTACTGGCCTGAAAGTTGGGTTTAAATCCATATCAAGTAAATGTTTTCCCCAAACTAACATTGGTTCACAGGTCAACACTGCC